GAGGGAAGTTAGATGGATGTAGTCCACACATGAGATTAAGACTTATCCCCGTCAACATCTGCTGGTATTTATATCCGCTAGGAGACTAACAGAGCTCTAGCTCCTTACATTGCCTGTTTTTCAAAGGTACACTCCTCTGTATTTTTCCAAAAGAAGTAAGAGGTAGAAAGGATTATTTGTCCACATGGGTCTGTCAATAATAATAATTTCAGAAGTACTAAGAAGAACACTAATGTTTTACAGAGGCCTTCTCAGTAAACTTCTGAACTTTGCCATGATAATTTGGCAGAATAAAACTGAAAATTCTAACACAATCTTAAAAGAATTTAAAACAAAATTATTTTTTTGTTTTTATTTTTAACCATATGATGCTTAAGGAAAGAGGAAATCTTCCAAAGCTGTAATTTTGACTGTTTTATATTAAAATGGTTATAGTTCAATTAGATTTATAAAATATAAAATTTTATAGGAAATAGATTTACAGAAATAATTTATAGACATTTTTAAATCTGAAAGCTAAGGCACAGAGAGTCTCCTTCATGCCCAGGAAACAGAACTTAGATAGTAGGTTCAAGCTTCCTTGTATTTTAGTCAACTCAGGAATTAGAGATAAGGGGTAACTCAGAAATATGAAAGGCCAAAGAGTTGATTTGGTCTAACGGTTAATTCTCAGCTACTAAGTTTAATGCAGACACTGGATGTGCCCTCATTGGATAACACTCTGGGTGTCTTTCCTACATTCTGGTCAGCTTGCTAATTAAAGCATGGGGTTTGGTACCCATTGGCCCGAGTTGAGACCCTGACCATATGGGGGTCTCAACCTATTTTGAAGGTGGCCAGCCAGAACAGAGACTTTTATCACAAGTGTAATGAATGCAATTTTGCTCTTTGATGTGCATCTTCTCAGTTTTGGTTGAACAACAAGATTAGAACACTAGGCATTTATATAAATAACCAGGGCTTTTGTTTTTCCATTTTAAGTACTAGATGGCTAACCAATTGTGGCTTTAATGAACAATCTTAACTTTGGTGACACTCATTTGACTTTTCTATGGTTCATTTTGGGGAAGGGATGTGGCTGTGTTCTCAGAGTGGCCTTGGATTCACAATACTCTGATGTCAGACTCCTGAGAAGCCTGGATAACAGACTTGCATCACAATATACATCTAACTCATTTAATGTATATTTATTATATTTATATTATGCTGGGGATTGAAACAAGGGCATAATACATGTTAAACAACCATCCCAGGCCTGAGTGTTCTATCACCAGCTTTCATTTATCAAATCACATAAAATATACAAGAGTAAGCAGTGCTTGATGGTGTTAAAACAGTACAATGAAGATTCACTTCAGACCAATATTGCTCAACAACCCAATGGTTTCTCCCGTGTGTGGTTTCAGTTACATACAACAAACTGTGAATCGAAAACTAGAAGCTTTAACTAATCATCATAACACTACACTGGTATAGTATAGTCATTCTAATTGATTATTGGTTGCTGGTCTTTTGTGCTCAGTTTATACATGAAAATTCATCACAGGTACATGCCTACAGAATAAATTAATGCATGTAAGTTTTGTTACTACCCCCCAATCTCAGAAGTCTACAGAGATTTTGAAATCTGTATCCCACAGGTGAAAGAGATAAAAGTAAAATAATGAGTTTATGTGGAGCAAGGAAATATGAAAAGGCTTTTTTTTCAATACAACCAAATGATAACTTATTTGTTTCTTTAAGGAATATCCAGAATCATTGATGAGCCTCCTACTCCAAATGTCCACAATTACAGATCATTAGAAATATATGGGATTCCAGAGATTGTATCATTCAGAGCTCACAGTTCAGAGATAGGAAGCTGTGTTTCAGGGGGATGAGTAGCATGATGGAGATACTGTTGATGGCTGATGCAAAGTATATAGAGGGAGAGTGATTTTCACTCCTGAGCACAGCTGAAGAATAGAAGGTCTCCTATGAAGTTTCACTCTGCAGGAAACATGCAATATGAATATCAAGGTAAGCTTGAGTTTTTTTATATCTGCACATTTCTTAAGTATGATACCTGTATTTTATAGAGAGTATGGTTTTCTCCTCATGAACATCCTATTTTTGTCATGTATATGAGTATTTAGAATGTTATATATTTATATTTATTGTATATTTAACTTATAATAATTATATAGAGTACACCCTTAGAAAAAAATTACTCATTAGATATTTGTGAGAAGCTGATACAAGTGAGTAATAGCAAGTATTTGGAAAAGAAACTGTGCTGTGTAGTAGATTTGTCTGATAGATAAAAATTCCATGCTAGAAACAGCATTGGCCTCCCCTTCACACAGCAAGGTTTTAGTATACTCTGACAGTGTAGATATCCATGTAACAGGCTATGAGCAGTCTAAGAAGAATCCCTCTGTAACAGCTCTTGATTCTTCCCAGACCTCATTGTAGGCGATGCTGTAGCCACGCCTGCTAAGGGGCTGGCTACAGGTGTGCCTGACCACGCCTTCAAGGGCGTGGTCAGGATGATGTAGGGAAAGTTTAAGAGTGAGGGACGCTCAGTTGGTGGCCCCTTCTTTGCTTTCATCTTTGGCTTGCCGTACTTACTGCTGCCCCGCTGAGTATGCATTTCCTAACCTACCAGTTTACCAGTGTTGGAGACTGTGGAACTGAGGGAAAGAGGAAGAAAACAGTGGAAACCAGAGAGAGAGAGAAGGAGGAAAAATGCTAGAGGTAAATTCAAATAAGGCCAGGCGATTTGTGCCCCTTTTGAAGGCAGTCATAGAAAACCCTTTTTACAAAAATGAACTGTTATTCTTCCTTCTCCTTCAGAAAGCTAAACATTCATACCTCCCAAGCCTAAGCAAAGTTGATTAAATTGCCTTTATGTTTCGATGATTTTGTTTATAACATAAAGTTCAAAAGCAAACTGATAAGCTTGGCTGATAAGCACTGCTTTGGTCAGTTTTAGCACATTGAGAAGTGAAATGGAAACATCCCTTTTCCTTCTGCCAAGAAACCCAAGTCTTTTCAAATCTTATTCATACCTCTGCCGGCAACTTTCTTAGCATTTTGGCATTGCTGTTCGGCTCCAGGCTGTGTACATTTTATTTGTCTAAGTAACTCTCTGGAGAGGCTCCACTCATACCAACTCACAGCTGTGTTAAGTTCAGATGTGTGCAAAGAACAAAGCCGGTTCTGAAGAAAGAAACTCAGCTGGGACTTCGCAACATTTTCAAATAATTGTTATATTTGTAGCAAAACATAAGCACCAGAAAGCACTCTTCTTTAAGAAACCAGTATGCTACTATTTTCCAAAGATAGTGTTACACAAGCAATTTGCCTTAAAACAAAAATGTGGGGTTTGAGGTCTAGACTGTGAAATAGGCAAAGCGTGTAAACTCAATGGATAAGAGAAGAGTGTGCCCTCTGATGACCAACTCAAGACTGCACTGGTGCCTTCCTGGCATCCTGCTGCGTCTATGTCCATGGATGGGTTTTTGCATGCATGTACATGTATGCATGTGGCAGTCAGACATCAACGATTCCTCGGTAATTTTCAGATTGTGTCTCTCACTGAAACTGGAGCTCACCAACTAAACTAACTGCTAGGCAGAACACTTCAGAAATCCCCCTTCTCTGCCTCCCCAGCACCGGCTATTACAAGTACCAACATTACTGCCAACTTTTTTATGTAGGCGCTGGGGTCCACTCAGGTCATCATCTTTTGAGTGACAAGTGCTTTTTGGATTGAACAATCTCCATAGCAGAGTCTTCTTCCCTTTAATCCTGTCACCCACCCAGACACACTGTGAGCTCATCAGATGACTCAGAAATAATGCTGTTTCCCCTGACTTGGTAGCACGAAATAGTGGATGTGTTTACGGGGCTTAATGGCCTTCTGGGTAACCTGTGGTGAGCAGAGCCTGAATACACGTGAAAGATGCCTGGCCAGCCCTTCTCCTCCTGCTGTTCATAAGAATGATTTCTTCCTGAGTTGCAAATCCGTTCCCAAGGCAGATTAAATATTTACAAAGTACTTAAAGAACCCTTCTCTGCATTTGAACATGAAAATAGAAACGCTTGTTCATTTCAACATGTAAAAATTTCCCCCTCCCTAAGTAAAGGGCTTTGAGTTTAATTCAAGTCACTTCAGTGACATGAGAAAAACAGGAGCGTGGATATCACCACAGGAGGCTGGCTACCGCCTTAGCATGGAGTCCTGAGTCACATGTGGACACAGAAGTAACCGTAAAAGTTCTAGGAAACTGCTAACAATGCCCAAGTTTTGTATTATCTAATTCACACAGTTTCCTCTGGGCTTAAAGGCGAAATGAGATTCAAAGCACTTACCTTTAAGTATTAAGCTTTTTCATCTTTCCTTAATACTTCACACCACATCTTGTTCCATAAAGATGTTGTATTTCCTATACATTAACATATTATTTTGCATTTATTCATTAGGGTTTTTTGAATTTACTTTAACATAAAGGTTCCGTTTATTGCATCCCTAAATAAAAATAGCATCAGAATCTCTTTGCAACTCCCCAAACACAGTTAGGGAATAATGATCATATGCTAAAAACTGTAAAACGCAATTTGTGCTGTGCCCCATTTACTGCAAAATCACTACGAACAATGCATTGTGTACAGTGTATTGCCCCAGGGAAACTGGATAGGCCTCAGAAAGGAATAAAGAACATTGCCTTGGATACCAGCTAACTCTGCTTCAGCGCTTTGAAAAACTGTTTGTTATGATATTCCTTCCTGTCAAGTACATAATATGATTTCCTCAATAAAACCCAACCGTTGCTGTAATTCCAGTTTCCCTCATTTTCCACTTTTTAAGCACTAAATATTTAAACAATGCAGACCTGCAAGTCTCTAGCCAGTCATCAGGTCCCCCACGTCTTCTCGACTGAGGTACAGAAAGGATCTATACAGGGAAACATTATGTCATACTGACAGACAAAGCAGGCAGCTCCTGGGGTGCTTACCTGACCGCAAGCCAGGCCCATTCCTCTCTCCCCCATGCCATGTGGACACGATAAATTTAACTCCAGGGCATCTGCTCCAGAAGCCTGTAAGGTATTCAAAGAAAATGAGAGAAAAGGCAAAATTTTATTCAGTTATCAAGATGTTTTCCCCATTGATCACAAAGATCCCATCTCCGAAGATGCTTTCCCCTTGGATCATAAAGATCACGTCTTCTAAGCTTGAACATTCTGATTCCACCACAGCTTCCTCCTCACGTATACTCTGCCTTTCCAGTAAAAGTACAAATGACAACAATAAAACATTGGCCTAGAGCTTGAAAGTTATGCATTATATTTACTCTATATAATTCACATAATCTTAATTTTTATTTTAAATTCATTTTACATGCATATGCATGTATGTCTGTACATGGCTGGGAAGTGTATATATTTAGATGTCAGAGCACAACATGCTGGTGTTCATTTTCTCCTTCTACTATGTGTGGTTCTGGAGATCAAATTCAGATTGTAGGGCTTGGGGATAAGTACCTTGACTCCCTGACTCATTTCACAGCTCCTGGCTCTCAGAATCTTTGTGTTATTGCAATACCCATTCCATGGACAGAGACATGAAACACATGATGTTAAATGACAGGTGTGGGTGTTAAATGAGATAATAGAAATCTGAACTGAATCTGTTAGGGATCATATTTTATCTTTCCTATGCAGCTTCTATTTCTGTAGAAACAACTCTAAATAATTCTGGGTAATTGATGATGGAAAGAGACATGCAAAGAAAAATGTAGTTAGATACCTAGAATGAATGAGTAGAATTTAAAAAATTAAACTAAAAGCCAATTTCATATTTAAAAACAGCTTATTTCATAAGCTATTGGATATCTTATAAGACGTCAATAATTACGAGTTCTAACTTCAATTATCCGTCTTTTAATACATAAATCGATACTTTGAAAATGTATCTTAAAATTCTTAGAATGTCTACTGGGGAATATTTAAACACCTTTTAGTGGCTGGGGAGATGGCTCAGTGGGCATGGTGGCTTGAAAGTTAATAGCTCCCAAAAGGAGTGGCACTATTAGGAGGTATGGCCTTGTTGGGCTAGGTGTGTTCTTGTTGGAGAAAGTGTGTCATTGTAGAGGTGCACGTTGAGGTCTCATGTATGCTCAAGATATCTCAGACAACTTCTTGTTGCCTGCCTATCAAGATGTCTGCTTGTATGCTACCATGTCTCACTATGATGTTAGTGGACTCAACCTCTATAAGCATATGCCGCCCTGTTAAATGTTTTCCTTTATCAGAGTTGCTGTGATCATGGTGTCTCTCCACAGCCTTAGAAACTCCAGTTAGGACAGTGGGTAAGCATATTTGCTGTGCAAGCCTGAGAACCTGGATTTAAATTTAGCATGTAATGTAAAAGTCTGGTAAGGCTTTGCGTGTTGTCACCAATGTTGGGAGAGGGACAGCGATGGGCATCCTAGGAACTTTGAATGAGAGACCCTGCCTTAAAGGAATAAAAGATGACACATGATTTGCCTTCTGGCCTCTGCATGCAAAACTGACAAGTATACTCACTTGTGTAACACACACACACACACACACACACACATTTTATATTTAATATAGTAACTAAAGGGATATAGGTCACATATATTAAATTTGCCACATTTTAAATTATTTTACCCACTTCTTGAATTTAATAGTAACTTTATAATTAGTTAGAGGTTTGAATAGATTTCAAAAATAATATCACATATGTATTACTTTTTTTTTTTTAAAAAAATCTACTATTTACTAAGCATACCAGACTGGTTTGAATAGATTTCAAAAATAATATCACATATGTATTACTTTTTTTTTAAAAAAAATCTACTATTTACTAAGCATACCAGACCGTTCTTTAAAGCAAAATCTGTTTCCACAATGTTTTTCTTTTCTCCATAATTGTTTTTTCTGCTATCCAAATTTGGAGTATGATCTTAGCAAACTCAATTCTAGTTATTTCTCAGCTGATTTTCGTGCCCATCTTCATTCATCGGTGCACCTGCTTGTTCTTCCGTACATTTGTGAAGGTCCATTTGATCACTTCCCATGTTTTCAAACATGGACACATTATGCTGCTTTGCTACCATAATCCAGTTTGAAAATGCTTCATATTATATAACAATTACTGTAAATCATGCTGTTTTCTTCCTGCGTGCTTTTTACTGAGTATAGACAACACCCAGCCTACTGGACTTGAAGTTTGGCTGTAAGGAATTGAGGAGGTTTTGAGTGAGCCAGTGAGCCTTCCCAGTCTGCAACTGAGTAAATATAAACTGCAAGTAATGCATCCTATCCCAAACTCGAGCCATATGGGAAATGATCCACTTAATTTTGATTGGGCATTGTAATTATATATGGCAGTGCCCTTGTACTTTCTCTAGTTACTTAAGGTATTTCCTTTAGACTCATTTAGTTAGAAATTGAGAGCAAATCAATGTCACTTTAGATTAAGAGACAATTGGGAGGCACTTGTACACATATTTGTATTATGCATATGCCATTGCAAACTGACAAGTAATGGTGTGGTAGCTGTCATCATAGTTAAAGCTAATTGAGTATATTCCATATGCAAGGATATTTTTACTAAGCTTTTTGTTTTACCTTACTTAGTCTTTAAAACAACTCCAAAAGCTAAGATATATTGTAATGCCCATCTTACAGTTGATAAGTCAAACAGAAAAGAGTTAAATGACCCCCTCAAAGGATTTTGGATGTAGAGCCTATGATTTTTACCCAGGGATTTATATCAGTGGATGAATTATTAGCAGCTTGTTCGAAATCATTTGTTACTTTTGTAAAGTACAAATACCACAACTTTTCTTTCATTTTTAGTCCCTAGACTTTACATTACTGTAAAATCGTGTGTATAGTATATATGATTATAAAAGTAGATGAAAAGTTTATAAGGGAGCAAAAGGACTAACAGGAGCATGGAGGTAAGCAAGGAGAGGGAATAGGAAGGGGGAACAAGGTCAAAGCACATTAGAGATGCGCATGCATTCTCTTATAAAACCAGTACTATGGAAACTGAACATGCATCCATCAAAAGCCATTTAGAACACCTCCTGGTGATAGTGAATGTCACCAATGAGGAAGTCATTGAGAGCATTTCTTGTGCATCAAAGAGTTTGTAGTGACAGAGTCAGAGCTTCTCTTCACAGTCTGGGGTGTTTTCCTGTCCATTGAGTCTCTTTCCATTCATATCTCAATGTGTACAAACACAGTTTGTTGGTCATGGATCTGAGGTTATCTAGTAGGCACATTTGGAGACACAAAGAAGTCATGTGATCCCCAGCTGGGAAGGCTGCAGTGGTTTAAGAAAACATAATCTTCCAGCATCCATATAGGCTTCTAAACTGCTGGTCAAATCAAAATTCTTAGATATCTATGGAATATAGCCTTATCTGGGGATGATTATTTAAATCTCCCAAATAACATACTCTTGTACCTATCACCAAAATACACCTGAGAGGCACGTTGCACTGAGCATTTACACCTTATAAATTGAAACAAGGCTGTTCTGGGTGACACTCAGGACTTGGGGACATTCATTTTACCTCTGAATATTCATGTCCCAGGGTTTGCACCATCTTCAAGGTTGTCTAGCTCCATCTCCAAGTAGTTACAACCACTCAAAAAAGCCTTAATTGTTGGATTAGCATGAAATGTTAAACAAGCTGAATCTGGGCTAACATTCTGACTCCTGTTAGTCACAAGAACTTTAATGACTTCTCCAGAATATATCTATCTCACCTAAAAAGGATGATGGAAAGGAAAAGAAATTGGAAGGGGGGCACAAGGGAAAATAGTCATTGCTGGAGGAATAGCTAAACTCTAGATTAGAAATGTGTTGGAACTGTTTTCTGCTAAGATTTAAGGCTTGATCTGCAAGAGAAAACACATGCCTGGTACTGCAAACCTAGTCCCAAAGCCATGGCTGGAGAGTTCCTAAGGCTCGGTCATGAACCTACTACTATTAGTCAGCTAAATGGACATAATAGTGTAGCTCTCAGATCTCATCAGAGAAGTTTCTTTGTGTAGTGGACACTGGCTAACTCAGAACTCACTACTATTGCAGCACAAGCATGAAGACATGAGTTTGAATCCCCACAACCCAAGTGAAACCTTAGGTATCTACAATCCCAGCACTGGAAGGTTGGTTGAGGAAGATCCCTGAGTTCCCTGGGAAGACACTCTGAGTAGACCAGTGTGTGCACTCCAGATTCAGCAGAAGACCCTGCCTCAAAAGGTAACATGGAGAACAACTGAGAAAGACACTTGCCAGGTAGTGGTGGCACACACCTGTAATACCAGCACTCAGCAGGAAGCCCCCTGGTGCACACGCGCACACACACACACACACACACACACACAGAGAGAGAGAGAGAGAGAGAGAGAGAGAGAGAGAGAAGGACCCTCTGTGTCCACCTATAGCCTATACATCTCTACATGTACCTACACACATGTACAAATATTTGGATATGTACAAACACACACACACAAAATATGTTGAACTTATAAAAACTATTGAGAATCTGGGTCAATAAAATTATTGTAGCTAAGCTTGGCTGAGAAAGTGTAGATACATAACCTATTCCTAGTCTGTATACTTTCTCACATTATATGGTTTTGCTCACCTCCCAGATACATACTCTCCCAACCCCAGACCCTATTGTTATCAGTGTATTTACTGTGTTAGCTCTCACAGTCTTCTTCTTTATGAGACCTAGGGATAGCCACGGCTTGCCTTGTTTCTGTCTGAACAAGAGTTCGAGGGGACCAAGAGACATGTCTTACCAACAAGCTCTGGCCTTCTTTACAGCTCTGTTTGGATAAAGAATCACACTGCAGGCCATGATGTCCAGAGCAGTAGAGCACATAGTCAACAGTGTTATAAGATTTCACCTATAGAGACTGGAGGCAGGAAGAATCATCTCTTCTCTTCCTCTTCTTAGTTCTGTGTTAGGATGATATATAGAGCTCTCCCTGATGCCCACACGGGACAACCTACTCTGTTTCTGTGGGCAGCTTGTGTAAGCTCTCTAATGTTCACCTCTATATTGACTTCCCCTCCTACTCTAGCTCACCTTGTCCACACTTCAACTGTTCAGGGATTGCATTATTCAATAAGGCCTTTTCTCATTACATATGACTCAATCTCTATTTTCTAGGCTAATACACATTAAGAAAGAAATAGATTCCAGTTCTGTTAAAACACATTCAAGATCTACTTAAGGTCTAATACTGGCAGTCTTCAGCAATGGCTCAATTTGCCATGTAGCTGATTATATACTTAAGCTCTGAGCACATCCATGGGGTGGAGATGACTCTTGCTCACCTCTGTTTGGCTGCCCAGAAAATTTACACATAGTTCGTGCTTGTGCTTTACAAATAAATATTCTTTGGCATGACATGGAGAATACCCAACCAATGTCTCAGAAAAGTTAGAGACTTTATCCCAAACCAAGAACAGAACAGCATGCTACCAAGTTTACCAAAAATTTTTACCATGCTACAAAAACACTCAGGAAACTGCTGCTTTGCCTAAAAAACATGGCAAAGATTGAAGAAAAGAAAGTATTAGAAGGTAAAGTGTGAGTTCTCTATAGTTAGAATGAAAAAAAAAAGGTTGGTTTCAGTTTTGTTTTATTTATAAGAGAAAACAAATCATCAAGAAAATGATGATGACAAGTAAGACAGTCTGGGCACACAATGTCCATGAGATGGGGCATTTAGTTCAACTTACTATATTATTTAAATGTACCTAATGTTGTGACCCAACAGTGCCAGAAACATGAACAAACATGTTTGTGTCTAGGCTCATTTTTAAAGCTATCCACGTGCTCTTAAAAGTACAGAGTCTGTCATTCTTTGCTACTGACCAAATACCTGAAAAAATGCAATTTAAAGGAACACATGCTTATTCAGGCTTGTGGGTTAGGTGATGCATCCACCTTAGTAATGATGAGCTCCATGGCAGAAGGAAGCTACTTATCCACTTCTCCGTGGACCAGGAGATAGAGGATGGGGTGACTATTGGTATTGTTATAATTTGGCTTTCTCCTTTCCCTTTTTCACTTAGTCTTGGGGTGCCGCCCACTTTCCGGGTGGGTCCTCAAATAATTCTGTTTGCAAATGCCTTCACAGACATGTGTAGACCTCTGCCTCACTAAGTGCCCTGACATTTCCTCATCCATCCAGATTGATAGTGGATTTGAAGACCTCTTTTCCCTGTGCAAAGTTCAACCCAGAGTCTGTCATTTTTTTACTACTGATCTACTACAACTGTAGCTGTTTGGATGTCTCATGAATGTCTTTTTTGTTAGCAGATGTGGTGATGGTAGAGTTCCTCAATTCCAATTATAAAACTAAACCATTGTAAGGAGAAACTTCATGAAAATGTACACAAGCGACATCTAGCCACTTTCTACCCCTAAAAGTGTTGCCACAGTAGAGTAGCATGTGATTCCTGATACCATCCATGAAGAATTGTCCATGTTAGACAGTAGAGTAACTTTGGATGGAAAACATTTTTGATTTACTTTATTGTGAATTCTTCCATTGTGAAAACTACGTTTTGAACAGTGGGTTCATAAAAACAGAAGCAGTGAGTGTGGTTCTCTTTTTCCTTTTAAATAGAGTTATTTTGTATATGGGTATGGTCATTTAAGGACATGCTACAGTGTGTGTGGAGGTCAAAGGACAAATTGAGAGAAAGTCAGTTCCCTCCTTGTATCAGGTAGGTAGCTGGGATTGAACTCAGGTCATCAGGATATCAGCATTGGTGGCAAACTTACCCACTGTAGTTACCTTGCAGGCCCAAAGTGACTCATTAAAAAGAAAGATGACCAAGAAGAGGCTAGGAAAGCTGAGTGGTGGTGGTGGCACACGCCTTTAATCCCAGCACTCTGGAGGCAGAGGCAGGTAGATCTTTGTGACTTCAAGACCAGCCTGGTCTAGTATACAAGAGCCAGTTCCAGGTCAGCCTCCAAAGCCAGAAAGAAACCTTGTCTCAAAAAAAATAAGAAAGAGGAGGCCAGGATGTTGAGAAGGTGACATAAAAGGGGTACCTAGGAGGATCCTGAGTTGAAGGGAGGTAGATATGATAAAAATGTTTTGCATACATATTTGAAATTATCAAAGAATGAGTAAAATATTGTATTTAAAATACTATTGGGTGTGTATAGCGTGAAATGTGATGGAATCCTGATGGCGGCTGCTGCTCTGCTACCTCCATGGGGATGCAAATGCCTATGTGAATTCTCTTCATGCCAAATCCCTGGGTTAGCTTACGTCTAACTTTACCAGAAGCATGTGGTTCATTGACAGTATGTACGGCTTGTCCTTCTTGATATGTATATTGTTCCCTGTGGAGATATGACAGATTGTTCTGACTTAATAGAAAGCAGACTCTTTTCTTTTCCCTTTGTTGTACAGTATTTAGGAAACAACAATAAATAAAAAAGAAATTGAAGAAAAATGTGGAATGCGATAATATCCACTTTTGCTAATATGTTCATAATTATAGCCTTTTGACTCTTGTCAGTAAACTTTCCCACTTAAAAATTAATGTCCATTACTGAAGGAAATAATTTTTTAAAGTATTTTATTCTTACAGAAAAGCAGAGAAGCACGCAGCATGATAAAGCCATTCATCATAGTCAGCTTCAAATTGGCAAAGCTCATGCCAAGCACGGGCTCCGTAGAAGATTTCACGGTCAATTAGGTAAATACATGTATAAAATGGACCCAGCACAGAAGATCACGGAGCCAATTACAGATCATGTTTAATTTCACCCCCCTAAGTCCCAGAAGTAATTTTTCCCTTTACAGTTTTAAAAATATCCAAATAAAATGTACAATCAACATTTTTGAGCACTATAGAGAGCATTATGATATTTTGTAATGTCAGGTCAATTACTGCAAAAGTCTTATTAGGCTCAGTGACTGAGAGCTTTCTAAGACCACCAGCCAGGAGGGTCTCACCCAGGTTGCCTGACAGAATGATGGGCATGAGTATGTTTTTTAAGGATGCACTTTTCTATTTGGAATACAAATCTGAGGCACGTGGTTAGTGTTTGCATTCTCAGAAGGTTCAATTCATATTGTGGCAGGCCAGCTGATGAGTGTTCCATGCAGCAGTGTTCCCTGCTAACACTTTATCCATGCTGGCATTCAAACCAGAACAGTATTAAACGAACCTTTTATAGTTTAAATATTCAAGACTTTTATATTCAGAATTTCTTCCCTTACTGTCAAACTAGTTTGCCTAGAGGCAAGGTAAGATCAAGTTAGACTCTCAAAGGTAGAATTAAATTTTATCATGGCATCCATCATAATATGCAGTTTGCTTAATATGCAAATGGAGAGTCTATGGATTCAGAGAATAAAAGGATTTTAGGTACCTTGTGAAATCCAAGGGACTGCTTTTATAGAATAGATGCCTTTTAAATTTACATTTCCATCATTTAAATGAAAACACATGGTAAACAAATTATAATAAAAATGTTTAAACTTACATTTTCAATTCAATTTTACTTCTACTGTATTATTTTCTGTGGCAGCTCTTTACTTAAAACTAATAAAAATGAGAGAGGTGGAATAAAATAAATATAAACTAAAGTAATTTTTACCTCAGCCATTTTGGAGAGTTCCATCCAATCATTTTTGTTGTAACTGCACATGATGCTGGCGATCAGGATCTTTACAGGGAAAAAAGAGAACAGGGGTTCAAATGGCTTCACTGCCTTGCACACATATTAATATCTGCACGCATATGTCTATAATGACAAGCTACATTATAAAAATTAGCTTTCAATCTGTTGAAAAAGAAGTATCACCAGAAAAGACAGCTTGCAACAGTAAAGCACCAGATAATATTTAGGACTTTTGAAATGTGTGATAGCCTTCTCAGTTACTGGGAATGGACACTTGAGCAGGTATCTGAACATGGATGTACATTTGCACGTAGCTGTGCATCAGTGTTCACGTGTGTGCGTATGAATGCACATGTGTGTAGATGCATGATTGTGGAGGTACATGTGGAGGTTAGATAACCCGGGGTTGGATTTCTCAATGGCCATTCCCCTCTTTATTTTTACTCTCTCTTTTTTCAGATAGTATCTTTCACTAGAACTGGGGCTCATCAGTTTAACTAGATTGTCTGGGCAGTGCGTGAACACCAGAGGTTCTCTTGAACCTTCATGCTGAATACTGAGGTTACAAATAAATTCTTATACTCCTAGGACTTCATGTCAATCTAGGGATTGAACTCGGGCCCTCCTGCTTGTGTGGCAAGTACTTCACTGACTGAGCAATTTCCCAGTCCCAACTTCCTTAACTTTATTGAGTCTCAGCTTTCCCCTTCTCAAACGTAAATTATAATATTGACTTTGTCGTCTCAGAAAGTGGCAGTAGGAATTACATAAATTCCTGTGTAATTGTGTGCCAATGAAAGAGACATCTCACTTCTACAGTGCTGTTGAAATGCATATTACCATAATTATCAGCCCAGCAAAAAGATTTCAAGGTATGGAAAAGAAAAATATAATGTTCCCTTTGATAATAACATATTACATTATGGTTAATACAATTTCCTATATTTCTTGTGAATTATAGTTTTAAATTGTATTAAATGGCTTTACATTGCATTAGGTTTTGGTAGGCTTATGATTTAAGTTCTATGTTAATCCATCAGTAGGGTATAAAGGTAGAAGTTACTAGAGTCTACTCCAAAGCCAGGATGTCTAGGTTGGAATCCTGATTGTACCATCTGATTGGGTGCTGCCCTGAGTGAGACAGTGGATTTCCTAATTGGGAAAATATGGATAACAATGCAGAAAAAAAAAACAAGACTGGCAGTGGCTAAGACTTAATGACACAGTGGGCATTGTTTTAAAGGATTTCACTTTATGAACTTACTTAATAATTCCAACCTTGTTTCACCCATTTTGCAAATAAACACAAAGATGCTGAGTTGTAAAGACCACACTGCTACCAAGGGGCAGACCAGGATTCAGGCCCAGAGTGTGCTGCTCATAGTCTATGATTTTAGTTGCTAGCCTTTGCTGGTCTCGTGTACACACTCTGGGAATGCCAATAATTGTTTTTCATTGTCACCTCCCTCACATACTATGAGACTGAGCTACCAGGCGGTTATGCTGTACATGAAGTCTTGGAATCTAGTGATAGAATCTGCTAGAAGTCACTGAGCTCCCATTGCAATGATCTTATTTATGTATATGTCTAATATCAAAAGGACACATTGCAAAGGTTAAATGAATGTTTTCATCATGGATACAAGGTTGTAAAGTTGAGACCACACAGGAGAGAATTCTGAACACCAGGGAGGAGCAGCCTTTGAAGTTGGGTTAACTTGATTCCCGTGGTAGACTTTAGACACCATGGGTCCTAGGTTTTGAAGGAGTGTAGAAAATCATTCAGCTCCTTGGTAAACAGACAGTCAGGGACAAAAAGTCTAGTAAATTAATGTTATCTCCCTAAAACTCTTAAGATAATGGACTTCCAGGTTCTTTATTGTGTCCAAAAACAAAACAAAATGAAACAGACAAAACCCCACAAAACTTGTTGGCTGGGTGGTGTTAGTGGTGTTGTTTTGCTGCAGCTTCGGGCCATGAAACACAACCACAAAACTCAACAAAACCCACTTGAAGTTTATTAGGGAAAAGGAGTAAAGGGATAGGCAGGAGTTGGAAGGGGAGTGGGAGGAAGGGGTGAAGAGGTGGGAGATGCTTGCTGAAAAGGGAAAAAGCTTGCACATGCATACAGAGTCCTTATGCAGCCACATAACACATGACATAGCCACACAACACAGGGTCCTTTGAGCTGTCTAAGTATCTGCCTGAATGCCAGTTGTCATTAAAATGCTGTTAATCCCAACACATGGGAGGCAGAGGCAGGTGGATCTCTGTGAGTTCAAGATCAGCCTGGTCTACAAGAGCTAATTCCAGGACAGCCTCCAAAGCTAAACAGAGAAACCCTGTCTTGGACAGCCTGGTCTACAAGAGCTAGTTCCAGGACAGCCTCCAAAGCTAAACAGAGAAACCCTGTCTTGAAGAAAAAAACAATCTTGTTAGTAACCGTTTAGAAGATCTATCATACCTGTAAGGATTCAGGCATTATGCTGGCTTGTCCCTGTCTCCTGGCAGAATGTATTCAGGCAGTACCCTGATCAGCATGTCGGTGCAAAGGACTCCTTTAAAAGAAAGACTTCCACCCACCTACACTCCCTTTCCTGCTTTTTTTCCTGCTGTTCCCCTGGGGCAGACAGGGCTTTTCCTATCTCCCTCTTCTCTTCTGTCCTTTCTGTCTCTGTGTCTCTTGCTCTTTTTTGTCTTTCCTCTCCCCACACCCTTTCCCTTTCTAATAAAACTTCTCTCTAAGCTCTAAGCTCTGTCTGCCTGACATGTTTGTCCCTGTGCCTGGGTCACCCCCTGCTGCCATGGAATCCACCAAGGTTCCACTTGTGCACTTTATCATAACAATACCACCTGCCTGAGGGCTCCTTTAGTAGGAACAAATCAACTTTGTCATTTTTTAATTATTCCAATGCCCCAGGATAGCCCAAACCAGGACATTTGCAGGAAGAAATGTGAATAGGGATGGAGGCTTCCATCAGTAAGGTGGACTGACTGGACACACATCCTCCCCTATCACCACTGCCTGCTGGATGCTCTAGATGCTCTCAGTTGGGAACTCTCATGGCTTCTTTTTTTCTAAATGTCATTTGAAATTTTGGTAAAACTATATTTGCTTGAAATTTGTATTGATTGTGTCACAATTCCCCCAAAGTCATCAAATGCCCCACAGGTTTCTAGGATCAAAAGGAATTATTGGGGCTAGATGAAGACAAATAAATACAGGATTAAAGGTGTGTGCCATCACTTCTCTGCCAGATTTCTTTCTTAATGACACTACTGTTGTTCTTTTCAAATAGTTGTTACCTAGGGTCATCTTGCCTACCTGGTAAAATCATGCTTTTCTTGACAATAGTGCAAGTGACTTAAGGGGAGACCAGGACTTCCTGGTAGTTGTTACCTACTTTGCCCCTACCCAGCTGGTTTAAGTCAGAGTTGTCTCTTCTTGTCATGGGAATGGAGCCTAGATGTCAGTCTTGGTACAAACTTTCTCAGCAACCCTGAACTTCAATTGTAGTACAGAATTTCCTTTCTCACTGTTTCTGTCTAGTCAATATACTACTTACTTTCCAGTCATATTGGAGGCCATGCTCCTTTAGCTAAATTGTACTTTTTTTTAACTTTTAATATATCCTATTTAAGTTTATTAGTAGATTCTTTTCCGTATCATTTATAGTTCTTGAAGTTTCTATCATGTTATTATCACCCAGAGTATTGCCCGGACATGAAGAGCCACAGTGCTATCACATTTTGTGGATGCTTGGCAGACTGCATCGGGATCTGTTTTATCACCCAGAGTATTGCCCGGACATGAAGAGCCACAGTGCTATCACATCTTGTGGATGCTTGACAGACTGCAGCGGGATCTGTACATTCTTCTCCTCAGGCAAGCTTTAATAGTCTGCTAAGTAGCAAAGCTGCATCTTTTCTAAATAAGTTATATCTTCTTCTCCCTCAAAGATAAGAAAGAACCCTGGGCTTTCACAATGATGGATTAGCTATACTTGTCATCAACATCCTACCACAAAAAGTCAAAAGGTATTGTTACTGGTTCCTAAATTAGACAGTACATGTGTTGGGAGTCACTAATGACTACTGATGTCTCTTTATTTACCCACCTCCCGGTTCTGCTTTCAGTGACTTTACCAGTGAAGGCAGAGTGGACAGAGGAAAGTGGGAAAGTAGAGATAACCAGGAATGGAAGAAAGTGCCATTCTGCAGACACCTGCCAGACCAGGATCCCATGAATGTGTCTGTATGTAAGCACTTAATAAATATTGCTTTTCTACTGAACTTCATACTTTGACTTTTAACTGCTCTATGTAAAACAAATATTACCATGTTTGAAAAAGTCCAATGAGCCTTATCTTTTTTCACGGAGATGTAAAAAGAAAACATAACTTCATAAATGATTTAAAAGCAGGGTTATTAGGGCTGGGCTATCTAGGTTAGTAGAGTGCTAACTTAGCATGGGTAAAGTCCTAGATTCAGATTCATAAAGCACCATAATAATTTAAACATTCTAAATATGTATCTAAAGCCAATGGGTGGCTTGCAAAGGTATGGTAGTTCACAGATACCAGAGTGGCTGCAAAATTATCTTAACTTTCATTAAAACAGACCTAGGTTTTTCCAGAATCAAGCTAAAAGGTATTCACTCTAAAAGGAGATGGAGTATAATTTAATCTTTCTTTGATGATTAAAAAGTCCTTTCGTGTTTTGCTTGACTCAGTTTTTAATCAAGTAAAAGAGGACAGGCTATTTTGCTTCCTATGAGAAAAGTGAACTGATAGATATTGCATATGATGAAGAATCATGCCATGGTACCAGAAATGAATACTCACTGAGACATACTCCTAATCAAAATTTCACTTAATTTAAGCTATTCCCAGGGCTCTTTTTTTATAATTCATATTTTAAAACATTATTGAATGAGGTGATACATAACATCCAAACACTACATGATATTTGAACTTTGGCCCTACTGTGTACTTTATGAGAAACTCTTTGGTAGGAATTTATAGATATGCCGAACAAGCTACTAACACACA